AATATAATAAATATATAAAAGTTTTAATTATACAAATATAGATAACATACCATTCAAATAAAACAATTAAACAGAACTAATAACCTGTTGGTTCGAATGAAAAAACTTCAATTATTTTAAAATAAGGTGTCAAATTTAAATTTTATAAATGGAGAAACAGACATGATAGAACTTTTCCTTAATAGATCCAATACAGATAGATTCTAAATTAGTTGAGATCTAATGTAGTTACTAGATATTGAGAGGTTAATACCAAAAAATCAATTAAACATATTAAATAAATAATTTTAAACTCTTATACTTGTTATTTGACTTGATATTTGACTTGATATTTACATATATATTATTTTTATACCTATTATTTATCTAATTTTTTTACTGTTCAAATAACATAGTTAAATGAGTAAAATACTTGCAAATAATTAGTATATCAGTATTCAATGCCCACCCCCAACAAGATCAACCATAGAAATCTTGGTCTCCTTTATTTACCCAAAAAAAAAAAACCCCTATAGAAATCTTGACCGGTATTGAGCAGAAATTGGTGACGGTTCTAAAGTGTTACGTTTTCCACTGTTATCAGACTTGTATTTCTTGAAATTTGTTAATGAAGATTCAGTATTCCATTAAAAAAGAAAAAAAAAAAAAGGAATTTCCAAACTTCCAGATCGTACTGAATCTCCTATGAACGTCAGCCTTCGGCCACACAATGAAATCTTTTTACGTGGAAATCCAGATGGAAACTTCCGCTTTGGAAATAACATTCCTACAAAGTTTCTTCTCCATATGGAACTAGAGAGTTACAACAATAATAAAATCTTCAAAAAGAATTCCAGCATTACCAGCGCTTGAATATCACTCGATGCTTTTTGCAATAGTCCTCTAGCTATAGAGGTATCAAGATGACCTGTGAATTTTGTCAGAAAAAAGAACCAAACAAAATAAATCAGGAGGTATGCAATTGGAACCCGAAAGGTTTGTCATTAAGAAAAACTCATGACGATTTGAGAACTCACCAGTTTTCTTTATGAAGTCCCAGCGGCATTTGATGGAATCATAGAATTGCAGGGTGGGAACATTTTGCCTGGATACACATATATTTGATTTTACTTCTACAAGCAGGATGCTAGAATAGATCTCCATCATCAGGAAGTTCATGCCTTGACGCTTCAATTAGGAACGACATGCACCTGAGTACACAATACTGGGAATATTGTGAAGCAACTCTCAACTGGGTAACATACATTCAAAGAAATGATAGATGTTTAATAAACTACACATACCTTCTCAAGACCATTTATTCTTGGATTCAGGAAAATCTTGGACCATTTACCAATGCTCCCTCATATGCGTCGTTCCTCTGATTGGAACAATCATAAGAATCATGAACCTAGACCTTTGATTGTTAGTTTGTTGTAGAGGCATTGGGTGCATGGCCCGGCAGAAGTACACGCATCAAATTAGTGCGAAACCCAGTTCTCAGCTCCTGGAGAAAAAGAGGTCTCTCAACCAATTCTAACAAACCTTCCATTCCATCACAATTGAATATTTTGACAGTTCCTAAGGCCAGTGAGAAGCAGAAGTTGATAGGAAGAGACTTCTTTTCTTGTTTGTCTGAAGCAAAATTAGCAATAAGATGAATGAAGGAATGCAATACACTGATCTCTATATAATCAGAAATTAAACTTCAAGAAAAGAAGAAATTGCTTGCAATTATGTCATTACACCGCAAAACATCACTTTAACTTTCCTAGTAGAGTTTTAAAGACATTTTGGCTTGTAACGTAACTATCAGTTAATATAAAGCAAATATATAATAGAAGTATGGTGCATATAACTTGCTGTTGCTTTAAACAGAGGTTAAGAAATCCACCCTAGATTAATCAAGAATAGAGCAATCAGCAAATGATTAGTTACCTCTGTAAAATTAAGTTTGTATGGCATATATTCCTTTCTTCAATCCTCTATCTGTATCTTCCTTATCCACCGTTGTCTCAAAAAGGGCACTAGAGAGAGATAATATATGATCGGATGGACAAGAAGGTATTGAAATGATAGATGTACTAAAATAGTGATCCAGCCAGATATTAAGATCATAAAATGAATGTAAAGAATTAGATTATTATTTGGCTCAAGATCTTTGGCATAAAGGGATTCAACCAGATATTAAAATCACAAATCGAATGTAACTGTTCAACCACCAGCCTAATTTAGATATACAAATAAAATATGGTATGAAGGGATTGCATTGGGAAATATAGATTTAACATACCTTTGAAAAATCAAGATCTTTGGGATCGCACCGTCTGCCCATTGATTCTGATCCTATGAGTGTGGCAAATGGATGACCATTTGTGGCTGTCTTCTTGAGCATACCCCATTAATTTGGGACAATTGTTTATATCAAGAGATTTTAAGTTTGACAGCCCAATTGGGATAGCCTGCAATTTTGGACATGATTGTATGCCAAGTATAGAGAGATTTGGATATGCAGATCCATCTTCCCACCATGTTTTGAGCTCTGGACAATCCTGAATATGCAACTCCTCAAGGCAACGAAACACAACCATGCCTTGTGCTTCTGTCCATTTCTCCAGCTTTGTCATGTTGCTTAAAGTAAGTTTTCTCAAAACTGGAAATGGTGTAATTGAATCTCCTCCGCCTTGGCTGTTGCTTGCGCACCATGTTTGGAGCTCTGGACAATCCCGAATATGCAACTCCTTAAGGCAACGAAACACAACTATGCCTTGTGCTTCTATCCATTTCTCCAGCTTTGTCATGTTGCTTAAAGTAAGTTTTCTCAAAGCTGGAAATGGTAGGATTGATTCTCCTTCACTTTGGCTGCCGCTTGCCCAGCATTTTTTGAGCTTGGGGCAATCCTGAATATGCAACTCCTCAAGGCAAGGAAACATGACCATGCCTTGTGCTTCTGTCCATTTCTCCAACTTTGTCAACTTGCTTAAAATAAGTATTCTCAAAGCTGGAAATGGTGTAATTGAATCTCCTCTGCCTTGGCTGTTGCTTGCGCACCATGTTTTGAGCTCTGGACAATCCTGAATATGCAACTCCTCAAGGCAACGAAACACGACCGTGCCTTGTGCTTCTGTCCATTTCTCCAGCTTTGTCATTTTGGTTAAGGTAAGTTTTCTCAAAGCTGAAAATGGTGTAATTGAATCTCCTCTGCCTTGGCTGTTGCTTGCGCACCATGTTTTGAGCTCTGGACAATCTCGAATATGCAACTCCTCAAGGTAACGAAACACAACTATGCCTCGTGCTTCTGTCCATTTCTCCAGCTTTGTCATGTTGCTTAAAGTAAGCTTTCTCAAAGCTGGAAATGGTAGGATTGATTCTGCTTCACCTTGGCTGTTGCTTGCCCACCATTTTTTGAGCTTGGGGCAATCCTGAATATGCAACTCCTGAAGGCAAGGAAACACGACCATGCCTTGTGCTTCTGTCCATTTCTCCAGCTTTGTCATGTTGGTTAAGGTAAGTTTTCTCAAAGCTGGAAATGGTGTAATTGAATCTCCTCCGCCTTGGCTGTTGCTTGCCATGCTGCTACTTTGATGAGAAGACATTGTGCCTATCCTCCTCACATTTGGCATTGCCTTTATATTGAGAACCTTAAGCTCAGGTAAGAGTTCAAGGCACGAAATATCACCACATTCATCACAA